TTGAGGTGGAATCCATACTGAAGGCTGTAGTCTTTGATCTTCATCAGTAAGTGCTTCAAGTCCTCTTCACTTTCAGCAAGCAAGGTTGTGCCATCTGCATTTCGCAGGTTGTTAAGCTTTCCTCCAATCCTGATGCCACATTCTTCTTCATATAGTCCAGCTTCTCAGATTATTTGCTCAGCGTACAGATTGAATAAGTATGGTGAAAGGATACAACCTTACCGCACACCTTTCCTGATTTTAAACGAAGCAGTATTCCCTTGTTCTGTTTGAACAACTGCCTTTTAGTCTATGTACAGGTTTCGTATGAGCACAAGTAAGTATTCTGCAATGCACATTCTTTGCAGTGTTATCCGTAATTTGTTATGATCCATACAGTTGAATGCCTTTGCATAGTCAGTAAAACACAGGTAAACATCTTTCTGGTATTCTCTGATTTCAGCCAAGATCCATTTGACATCAGAAATGATATGCTTTGTTGAATGTCCTCTTCTGAATCCAGCTTGAATTTCTGGCAGTTCCTTGTCGATATACTGCAATTTGTTAAACAACAAAAATCTGTAATCAAACATATACAAGACATTTTTGCTAGGTATTTTTTATTATCACTAAATTTATTTCTTTTCTAGGTTTTCGTTCCCACAATTTCACATTTTCCTTGATTTCAGAAAGATAAATAGTAAGCACACAGTGGCAGGGACTCCGTTTATAACTACCTTTGAGATTGGAACCTGTAAATACCTTAAATAGAACTTCGTATTTTTAAATTCACACAAATACACACATCCAGTTGTCTTTCATAGGTTATTTTCTTTCTTAGCTACTATAAAATGTACCCTACCTGGTTGTAATCTCTACCCATCGTGAAGATATATAAGAAATGTTCAAATGATTTCATATCTTCTGTGTGCCAGGCACTTTACCTACATGTTGTCATTGAGTCTTGACAACTTGCCCAAGATCCCATATCTAGTAAATGCAGGGGAAGGATCTTGATGATCTACAAAGCTCGTGAGAATGATCAGCTATACCATTTCTAGATTTTCCCCGTCTATATAGAAACTTCTCTGTTTGAATCCTCTTCTACTTGTTATTTTTTCAATTCTGCTGTCCCCATATCTTTCCTTCCACTCATGCCCCATTTATTTGTCTCTATTCTCAAAGATAGCTAGGACTCATCTATACCTACAGTCAGTAGTAAAGGGGATGGCTAGTTACGGGGACTGACAAGCTAAATCAGAAGTCACTTGCACCTCCATGCTGAGATCTTAGTCCTTTTTAAAATGATGAGACTTCCACTCCGACCCACAGTCTCAGCAGCATCCAGCCAGGAGCCCAGCAAGCAATCCACCTGGTTGTCTGTAAAGGGAACTGATCAAGCCTACCTCTCTCTCCTTATGCA